CCCCAAAACCCCAAAACCCCAAAACCCCAAAACCCCAAAATCCCAAAATATAATTGAAATAAACACTAGAACTTAGTATGGAAATCAGGGTCAAAATAGAGATAACAGAGCGATCAAAATCAACTCAAAAATTCATTCCAAAAATACCAAAATTTGAATGCCCCAACAATAAGTTATTCAGTAAGCCTCTTAGAAATTTGGAACTTTGACAAGATTCCTAAAGTAGAACATCCATCATCTATGGCTTCCCCCAAAATATACAATTTGGCAGCAAAGTGTATTTTTGAGTGATTTCTGTTTCCCAAGCAAAGGGGGAATTATTCACCAAGATAGTTGTAAACATCCCTCTTTGGCTGAACAGTTTGATGAATAGGCGAGCCTTATACTAGTAGATACAGAGGAAATTTATAGGTCTCTTAGATGATCTAAAATTCTAGCATTATTGCTTTACTCAATTTTAAAGGCTTTGGAGTCATACGAAATGTGTCATTTTCCCTATTTTGATTATAACACAAGGAGTTTATTCCTTAAAACCTTTTGTTTCCCTCTAAATCAGGGGTATGACTAATTTTTAGGTAAAATTCCGAGCCGGAATCGACTATCAGAGCTAAGATAAAAAGGATCATTGAAGACAGACTTCCAAAACAGAACAGTCTGAATATCTTAAAGTCAAGGAACAAGCCAACATGGGAGGTAGCAAAAGATTGATTACGGACAATAAAGTGAATCCAGTTCAACAATAAAGAAACCAGAATGCCCTGATTTACAAATGATATCATCTCTAGGTCTAGTAAGAACCCCTTAATATCATAGTCGATCAACCTCTGCAAGATTTAGACCTTAATAGCCCCGATTGATGAGACATATCCAAGCAAAAAGCTTATCCGCCAAGATTTAGAACATTTAAGAGGACTCAAATAAAATTGAAGAATTTCAACTTGAACAACTCCCTATCTAATTGGCTTTACCCTAAGAAAGCTCGGAGAGGCAGTAATCGGGATAAAGTCTCTATCATCCAAAATTTGTCGCCCCAGAATAGAATAAGCGCCGAAGACAAGTGTTCGAAAAGAAATTTAGAATCTGGGTATTATGAGAGTATTATCAATCAAATCTCTGATTTAAACAAATCTATGATGTCTGAAACTCAAAGTATATGAAAGAAAAACAGAATTATGTTCGACTTGGAGCTGACCAAGATGATCAACGCTAGAAAGAAGTCAGATAGAAGGATTCCTGATATAAAGCTTCACAGGACTAGGCTAGACTCTTCTAAAAACCATAGTAGGAATATGCTTAACAAGCGGCTACATAGGAGGACCCAAGGAAATAAATCTGATGAATTTTATAAACTCTAATATAAGATATTGGAATTTTTATCTCTTTCTTCCCTCTCCTGAATGACACTGAATTGCTGAGCTTGACTTGGGAAAACTTGGGGATGCTAAATATAGAATTAAAAAATCTTACTTGTGGAGAATTTCCTGGAGTATTATCCTCTGGCTTATTTTGAATAACTGGGTTGGTAATATTGTTAATGTTCTGTATCGCCTGTTTCGCAACTTGATTGTTAGGTTTATTCCTTGATAAACAATACTCTGCACTTTCATAGCTTGATTTAATTTTTGAATATTTGATTGGTGGATGGGATTTTTCTCTCTTTGGATTTCATCCTCAGAATCATTTTGCATCCCATTTTGAGCATTTATCATCTCTCTGATTTTCATCCCTTCATGCTTAGAGATAAGTTCTTCCATGGAGTTGATTTTAAACTGGAGGGTATTGATTTTAGAGACAATGGTGATTATGGATTACTCAATTTTTTTACCTAAATCTCTACTGTTATTGAACTCATCTGCATCCCTTTTGTATTGTTGGTATTGCTGAGCCATTCTTTTTGGCTTAAGCTTTATTAAACATAGAATGTTGTAGAAAAGCATGAAGGTGTTGTAAAATCTATTCGATCCATTCATACCACCTGGTGCTGGTCCAGGTTGGTATTGAGCTATTCTTTTTGACCTACTTCTGCTCATTCCATCTCCTAGTGGAGCAACTCTATAATAAATATATGAATTTCTTCAAAGCACTGGGCAATTTTCTTTAGTATAATATTTTTAATCTCTGTAAATCCAGACAAGAATAGAGAGCTTTAATAGAGCTTTATCTTAGATGAAGTTTGTAAGTCAATTATATATTGCAATACAAACTCTTCTCTAAATCTGGTAAATACTTACTTAGCTTCTTCATTCTGGATAAGTGGCTCATCTTCATATGGGGTTTCTAAATTTGGTTTTAGACTGTATCCAAAGTAGAACTTACCAGCATAGAATAATTTAGGTTTTGTCTCATCTGATTTCCTCCCTCTTCAGCCTGTTTACTCAATTTCTCCAGTTCAATTTTGTTAGCTTTGCGCAAGAAGTTGACCCATTCGTGCTAGAAGCATTTCTCATTAATAGGTCTAATACAGAGTCAGGATAGAGTACAGGTCATCCAATTGGGCAAGAATGGAAAAGGTATATATGATTGCCACCTTTAAATGATAATAATCAACTTTACACTAGCTTTAGGGGTTTTGGGGTTTTGGGGTTTTGGGG